TCTGCTCCCTGTTCTGTCTCTGGTGAATCCTCTCACCCTCCACATCTCTGTCCTGTACCCCAGTTCTGTATGAATAAATAAAATCTTAAAAAAAAAATCACAATTCTTTCTCTGAACTTTTAGTTTCAGAGTTTAAGGAAACAAAATAAGACAAACAAAAATAAAAACAAAAAATGGGTTTTCTGGTTAATGTGGCCAAAGACTTATTTCATAATAGGTGACTTTTTTATATGATACCTAGATGATTCAAGTAAAAGAAAGGGGTCTGTCTGAGAAACCTGAAGTGACATTAACAAGTGGTTAGATTCCTGGAACCCAAATATCTGTCTCATCAGTCATGGTCAGACGGGGCATTAACAATACCTCGAATTGACCAAATTAATTTTTTCTGAGAAGTTCAAAACTTTTTGAGTAACCTCATTTTTTTTTCCTCCCCAACTACTGTAACTGCTTCTTGTTTGATAAGGAGATTGAGATCAGTTGACGCGAGGTTAATTTCATGCATGGAGGAGACAGACTAATTTCTAATCTTCTTACCTTGCCTCTTCCTTAAAAAACCACATCTCTTCTACTGTTATCCATATTTCCCCGTGTTGGTGACTCCTCTGTCTATCTTATATAAAGAATGGAATTTTTCATTTCCTGATAGACTCAATTGTGGTGCCATTTATTGGGTACCTTCTATCTGCCAGGGATGTCGCACTGTCATTATAGTGAGAACAAAGCAAACTCCTAGTCATTAACCTACTGCTTATGTTCTGGTGAGGCAGATAGGCAATAAGCAAATAAATGAATATGGTAATGGGCGTTACAAAAAAAAATTAATGCAGATAAGTAGAGCATGCCAGGAATGGAGAGAGGGCCCTCCCTGGTGGCGCAACAGGTTAAAGCACAGCACTACCAAGCTAAGCACAGCTGCCTCAGCACAAGTTCTATCCCCAGCCCCAGAACTGACCCACTTGGCTCAGCAGACCTCTCCTGTCTTGTCTGCTGCTCCCCTCAGCAGTGCACTTCATGGATCTGTCTGTTCTGCCCCCGACTCTGTGTCTGGTGAATCCTCTCATCCCCCCTGCACCTCTGGCCTGTACCACAGTTCTATATGCAAATAAATAAATCTAAAAAAAAAAAAAAAAGGAATGGAGAGAGACAGTATGCATATTTTAGAAGAAGAGGTTAAGAAAAGTGAGGAGGTGACACTTGCACAAAAAACTTCATGTGAGATATAGTCGTGTGCTTTTGGTGGCAGAGACAAACACCCTACTGCAGAAAGAGCTAGATGTCCTAGGATCAGTGAGTAGGCTGGTGGGAGTTGATGAGCCAGTGGACAGAGGAAAGAGGTGCAGGCCAGATCATGTAGCATTTGTAGGCCAGGCTGGGAGCTTAGGATTTTATTCTGCATTGATGGAAAGCCACAGGATGGTTGAGCACAGGGGACTAAACAGGTTACTAGGTGTCCTTGGGAGATGATGGTTTTGTCTGAGGTGGTGAGAAGTGCCACTATGGGAATTGATTTTTTTTTTAATTTTTTTTTTATTTATTCATACAGAACTGGGGTACAGGCCAGAGATGTGGAGGGTGAGAGGCTTCACCAGAGACA